CTTTCTTTCTTTCTTTCTTTCTTTCTTTCTTTCTTTCTTTCTTTCTTTCTTTCTTTCTTTCTTTCTTTCTTTCTTTCTTTCTTTCTTTCTTTCCTTCCTTCCTTCCTTCCTTTCTTTCTTTCTTTCCCTCTCTCTTTCTTTTTCTTTCTCTCTCTCTTTCTCTCTCTCTTCCTCCCTCCCTCCCTCCCTCCTTCCCTGCTCATCCTCTTCTTTCTCCTTCTTCTTACCATTTTTCAGTATTTTTTTGCCAAGCCTTGGACATACACACTACACTGCCTCTGATATCAGTTTCTCTCAAATCATGAGATTAGATGAAGGCTGACATGGAAGACTTTGGCAAACGCCCTCTGCATGGCCTTTCAGGGACAAACTGAATGGTTGAGAATGTAAGGAGAATGTATCCTAATCATTTAAAGTGGGAAAATATCCTGGCTCCTCACTAAAGTAGCTCAGTGGTTAGTTATAATGGAGGAATTAAAAATAGGCTCGATGGAGCAATTTCCTGAGTGCTTTTACAGGTACTACAATGCCCTCTTTTCAATAGGTGTAATCGTCCACGATGCTGGCAGACGCCTGACACTGCAGATAGTACCAGAACCTCTGTACACACACTTACGATGAATGGCTTAACTTGTAATGGTTACAACATGATTAACAGTATAAATGTTAAAAAATCGTTATATTGTAATCAGTTACGCAAATGTGTTTCCCCAAAATGTGTTTCTTCGAGATTTTTATCTTCTTAGCCTTATCTAAGGAGCTGTTTGGCACAGTTCCTATCCTTTCTGAATCCCTTTCTGTAGAGGGCTCCGATGGATGGTTTCTGAGATGAAGATTCAGGATGGAGGGTAAAAAAAAAAATGGCTCTGGGGGAGCGAAAATTGGCCTTAATTACCAGCAGATCCACGTGGCAAAATAAATAAATAAAATAAAATAAAATAAAATAAAATAAAATAAAATAGCTCTTTATTTAAGGACTCAGCAGAACTTCGGACCCAAAGAGTCTGTATAGTACTTATCGCTACGAATAAACAAGAATGAAGGAGACAGACGGACACACATCTAGTTTACACAAAATGTTAATGCAGCTAGCTACAAAGCATCTAGAATATCCTGAGGCAGCATCTGAGACCGAAGCTACGACCGTGAGGGAGGTTTGGTCCCCAGACTGAGGGGCGTGGCTGGGACGTCTCAGGATTTCTAGGATCCCTGAAGTTTAAATTAAGGGGTTATTCTGTACAGGTAGTGAAAGTAGGGGGGGCGCCGAGACTAGGAGCAGAGTTCTGTGCTAGGGGCTTGGCGACTTCGTGAACGAAGTTTGAGTGGCAGTAATTAGGACCAGTAGAGTCCGGGCTGAGTCTGAGTGGCGGAGGCGCGAACAACCCAGCGGAGGCGGGGTTCTGCCAGACCGAGCAGGATCGGTGCAGTAGGGGCGGGGCTCTGAGAGCTGGGGGCGGAGTTATAAGTCCGCCAAGTGTGGAGAGACGCCTGGGGCGGGTCTCCATGGGCGGGATCAGCACAGGAAGTGTGTGCCTGTAGGCAAGGATCCGGCCGAGTTGGGCGTGAGGTTATGAGTGGCAGAAGCCAAAACCAGTAGGAATCGAGTTCTGCATGATTGGGCGGGCTCTGTCCTCTGGGGGCGGGGCTCCGCGAGCCGAGGGTGGAGCCCCAGGGTTCAGGGGCGGGACCTATTTGGAGGGGTGGGCTCAGGACTCGAGGGCGGGCCTCCGCGAACGGGATGGGAGGGGGACGGAGGTGGAGCCTAAACCAACAGGAGGCGGGTCCTGTACAAGGGGGCGGGGTCACGTTGGCTGAGGGCGGGGATAATGCCATCAAGGGCGGACCCTGCGAGTCGGGGCGGGTCCCGGATTCGCACGCCAGCCCTTTGCTAGTCTGGGTGGGGGCGGCTTTTGGAGGAAGCCGGAAGCAGCGACGGCCTCAGCTCCAGAGACATGGCGGGCGTTAAAGGTATACCGCGACCCCCGCCCGCGGCTGGTGGTTGGGGTCGCTCCGGCTCCTAGCTGTGCGGCTCCCAGCTTGCTGAGCGTGCGGGCTCTTGCAGACCCCGGCCTCCCGGGTGCGCTGCAGCGGTGTTTCGCGGACCCTGTAAATGCTCGTGCCCACGCCCGCCAGACCCCTGGCGGAGGCTTACCCCTGTGGGCTGTGCATTCCCCCTGTCGCCTCCTGGGCGTCTCAGTTCCCCGCGGGTCCCACCAGGGTCCCACATCCTCACCTTCCTGCTCCTCCGCAGTTTCCTGTGGCTTACAGAGGAGCCTTTGTTTCCAGGCTGGGTGTTGGAAACTTGGTTCTGTTGTTCCTTATGATTTTCTAGATGGGCAGAATCAATTCCGGGCGTGTGGCGGTGAAAAGTAACCAGATACACTCTATTCGTCGCAGCCTGGGGGCTGTGATTAGGTGGGATTTTAACAAGACTTTGAGTGTTTTCTTTAACTCGACTGTGAACAGACAAAACAGTGGGTGTGCTGTTTGTGTTTTTGAATGGTGATAAAAGAGGGTACCGAGATGACCACCTTGATCTCTATGAATGAAGAGCAATGGGGGTCTGAGTGGGCACGTAGTTATTGGAAGGCTTCCTGATTGGATTTCTGATCATCTGCACAAAATAGACTAACTTGTCTCTGTTGGACTTCCTTTCCTTAAAAACTGTCCACCAAGACCTTCCCACTTACCAGCATGTGTACAGATAGGCACAGTGTATATGCATGTGTACTTGTGGGTGCACTATGAATGTGTCTGTGTGAGTAGCAGTAACAGAGATACCTTACCATTTCTGGAGGACTTTCCTGTTCCGTATCAGCTGAGTAAACGTGGTTTACTTGGGCAGTGTCCACCGTATAATATATCCATTTGAAAGCCGTGCAGAAAACAGGGGAAATGGTGTCTAACCACTACAGAGTGTTTGGTCATGGCCACAAAGTAACAAAATAGTAACAGTAGTTTATGTGTGAACGTGCTAGAAATCATGTAGTGAAAAGGAACTCAGGCTATGAAGTGGATAAGAACTAAGCAAAGTAAAAAATTTTTCGGGTAATTCAGCTGTTACGGAGAACTATATTGGAGACCGAGGATAAAAGATAAATGAGAAATTTTTACTGACTTGACGGCTGCAGATAATTATATTGCTGTGTAAGTAAATGAGGTGTGCTCAGAGACAGTTGGGAACATAGAGATAATATGTTGGGGTGAATCATGTCCCTCCAAAGATATGTTCAAGTTGTAACTCCCTAGTGGCAAATAAGGGTGTGACCTTATTTGCAAACAGCAGATGTTAATCAGCCGAAGGTAGTACTTACTGCCTTGCACGATGTCCTTCAGATAGCAGAGAAATTTGTGCATGAAGACATACAGGGAAAGCACCACATAAGGACAGAAGTGGAGGGCTACAAGATGGCTTAGTACAGTGGTCCTCAACCTGCCTAACGCTGGGAGGGCCCTTTAACACAGTTCCTCATGGTGTGGTGACCCTCAACCGAAAAATTATTGTCATTACTACTTCATAACTGTAATGTTGCCATTGTTATGAACTGTAATGTGAATATCTGTGCTTTCTGATGATCTCAGGTGACCCCTGTGAAAAGTGTCTTTTCACCTCCCAAGAGGGTCACGACCCACAGTTTGAGAACCACTGGCTTAATAGGCAAGGCACTTACTGCCAAACCTTAAGACCTGAATTTGATCCCTGGGACCTACATGGGGAAACTGGAGAGAACCAGCTCTTCCACATATGTACATGTACTATGGCACACTCCCATATATCGGTAGATAAACCTAAGTAAATAATTTTTTAAAGTGAAAAAAAAAAAACAGTAATAGAAATTGGAATGGATGGTATAGCTGCAAGCCAGAAGTACTGGCACTGGGTGTTAGGCAAGGAAACTTGCTCCTTATAGACTTCAGAAAGAGAATGGCCCTGCCGACACCTTGATTCCAGAACTAAGAGAATTATTTTCTCTGGTTCTCAGTCACCCCGTTTGTGGTTCTCCATTGTGAAGCCAGCGTGGATGACCACTCCTCGATGGGGGCAGGTGACAGAGAGGAAATACTTCAGCTGAATTTATAGGGCCCCGCAAGGGTGGGGTTGAGACCAGAATATATTCCAGCTGGGCAGAACAGCATCCGACTAGGGCAGAGGCCGTGAAAGAACACATCTTCTTTTCTTGTTCTCAGGGACTTGGAGGGGGAGAGGGGAGGGTTGAAGCGGGAGATGTTCGGAGTGAGACTGTTGTGAGCCTCTAGTGATAGAGCAGCTTGCGGGCTGTGACCAGAGATGCAGAGGGCAACACACAGGCAGCTAATCATCTGTATGGAGGAAGGCGAGGGAGAGGCTCAGTCGGCAGCAGGAGGAGAGCATAAGGACTGCCCTGAAACAGTAGCAAAGAGTTCAAGGGAAGACGGCGGCCGTTTTGAGTGAGGTCTGGTAAAATGAGTTACTTTGATGAGCTGTAGAGGACAGCTGTGGTTCCAGCCCTCTAAAACGGGTCTTCAGGGTAAGATGAAGCATGCGTTTAAAAGGGTGGGGATGGAGTAGGAATGGAAGGTCATTTTACATGCTGGATTTGAGGTCCTTCTTGGCTTTGGCTCTACGGGCACAGTCATCTAGATGAGAAATAGAGTTCTTAGGATCTGCTGTGGGATGGAGCCTTAGATATGGCTGGGCCCTTGTTCTGGGAGCTTGGGGTTGAACTGAGCTTTTCAGCAGTCAAGTGTGAAGTGAAAAGAGACAGACTTGAGTGGTTGGTTAGCTCCTGCTGAAATTTAAGAAATGGCAGCAAGCTGGCAAGCTGGCTCAGCAGAGGCTCGCTCTGCAAGCGGAGGGATCTCAGTTCAATCCTCGGGAACCCATGGGACGGTGGGAGGAGAGAACTGACTTCACAAGGTTGTCTTTACGTGTGCTTCAGCACATAGACCTGCCCCCAGACACATCATCATTACACACAATTTAAAAAGAGAGGAAGTGGGCAGAGAGTGCAATTCCTGAATACACACACACACAGGGCTTAAAGGCACCGAGCAGGAATATGGTTATGAACTTTGAGATGATTTTGGAACAGAAAGAAGAAGTAAGTCTGTGGTTCACATGCTGTAGGTTCCTGGAAGAGAGAACTTTGCAGGCAGTCTGTCACAGAGGAACAGGGCAAGGCTATGAGGAAAGGACCAGGCAACTTGTAAACTCACAGACATTTGTCCATTAAAAATATCCTATTAGTAGAAAAAGATAGACACTAAGATAGAAATTCCTTCCTCCTCCCCTGACATCTGTATTCATCCAGGGTTCCTGGAAAGCATAATGGTTTCTTTCTATTGGACACTCTCTCTAAATCTCTTAATAAAAGAAGGCAATAAAAAAAAAACTTGATTGGGGGTTGAAGACATGGCTCAGCAGTTAAGAACACTGACTATTCTTCCAAAAGACCTGGGTTCAATTCCCAGCACTCACATGGTGGCTCACAACTGTCTGTAACTCCAGTTCTAAGGGACTGGACCCCCTTACACAGGCAGAACACCAATGCACATAAAAATAAATAAAAATTAAAAAAAAAAGTCTTCATTAGTCAGTGACTAATTATATTAGGGATTTTAAGAAGAAAATCTGGATGATCCGGTATCCTGTGCTTCTGATTTATTAGTTTATCGAATAGCTGGGTGAGTGGAGAGCTGCCATAGCCAGCATCAGTTGAGTCCCTTTTGTCCAGCACCATGTATAGATGATCCCCAAAGCCCCATGAAATGGGACCATCATTGCCATTTTACAGGTAAGAAACTAGGCTCGGAGAGGTCCAGCTGCCTAAGGTCGTGCAACCAGCTGGTTGCAGAATTGACATCTGAGACCCATTTGGTGACCGAGAGTTAACCTGATGGGCTGTCACAGGGCAAAGTGGAAAGGGCCGACATGTTCTGATGTGAGTATCCAGTGCGTGTGGGGATTTATACGGTGGCCACTGTTGGGGATCATTTCCTATGAAGGCATGTTGTGAGTTCCCCTCACTGGTGTTGACGATCTTGGCACATGTAGAGAGAACCCATGTGGTAGGCAGGGCCAAGTTGCTGGAGTGGCCAGAGAGCTTTCCACCTTTGGTTTTAAAGTGGTGGACAGAGGCCATTGCCATTCTCACTGTGGGCTCTGGGACCAAATGAACCACAAACTGGGTTGTTTAAATGACTTAATCCTGAGTATTGGAGGCCAGGAAGTCCAGGACCCAGGAGCAGACAGAGTGAAAAAGAGAAGTTTCTCTCGTGATAAGGACACTGGTCCTGTCAAAAGAACTCTACAGTCATGTTCTCGTCTCAATATATTGACTTCCTAAATATTGACATCTGAGGTGTCTAAGGGATGGCATACACCTAAATGGATGGCTATGCGTGCCTATTATCCCAGCTCTTGAGCTGTGGAGGCAGGAGGATCTCAAGTTGGAAGCCAGCTTGGACTACATTGTTTTAAAGAAAACAAACCCAAAGGCCTCACTTCTTAAGACCATCTCACCAGGAGTTATGATTTCAAATATATGAATTTAAAAGGTACACAGACATTCAGTCACATAGTAGTTCTCAGTGCATAGTCAGATGTAACATCAATTAATGACGTAAGTAAATTGCTACATTTGCTTAAATTTGTGACCTCTTGTAATGAGTATTTTTCTGTCTCACCAGCCAGCTCCTAAATAATGACACGGAGACTTCTTATTAATTATGAAAGCTTGGCCTATAGCTTAGGCTTGTTTCTAACTCGCTCTTATAACCCAAATTAACCCATTTATATATCTATGTTCTATCACATGGCATTACCCCTCTCCATCTTGCACCTCTTGTTTCCTCTCCATGTCTCCAGGCATCTCCCATGTGCCTGGATTCCTCCTCCTCTTCCTTTCTCTCCCCAGAAATCCCGCCTGTACCTCTTGTCTAGCTATTGGCCATCCAGCTTTTTATTACCACAATCACAGCAATACTCCTTCACACAGGGTACAAATATCCCATAACAACCTCCTCCTTAAGTTTCATCTTTAAAAGAATGTATGTGAGTGTGCACATACAGCACACCTGTGGAGGTTAGAAGATAGCCACAGTGTGGGTCCTGGAGATTGAACTCAGCTCATCAGGCTGGGCAGCAGGTGCCTTTATCTGCTGAGCCGACCTGCCAGCCATGTGTTACTGAGATATATTCAGATAGCATAAACTCAGCCTTTCTAAATGTAAAATTCTGTTGACTTTATCATATTCACAAGGTCGTGCTGCCTCCACTGCCGTCTATTCCCAGGACATTTGCCATCCCTTAGACAAAACTCTGCACCTATTATTGTTTGGACCCATCACCCCAAACAACCATCGATTAGAACCTTTAACATTCGCGTGTGTTTTCCACAGCTCTCGTGGCACTATCCTTCAGCGGGGCTATTGGGCTGACTTTTCTCATGCTGGGATGTGCCTTGGAGGACTATGGGTAAGTTGTTTCAAAAAGGAATTAGTGTGTGTGTGTGTGTGTGTGTGTGTGTGTGTGTGTGTGTGTGTGTGTACACGTACATGCGTGTGTATGCAGGTATTTGTGGAGGTGACATGTCTTCCAGTCTCTTCTCTACCTTATTTTCTCTTTTCCCACCTTATTTTTTTGAGACAGGATCTCTAAGTGAACCTGGAGCTTGCTCATTTGGTTAGACTGGCCAACAAGCTATGCAGATCCCTCTGTCCCCCGACCCCCACCCCACCCCAAGTGCTGGGATTACAGGTGCACACTACTGCGTCAGGCTTTCTACACGACTGCTAGGGATTGAACTCGGGTCTTTGTGTTTGTACAGTGCATGCGCTTTATGTACATAGCCATTTCTCCAGCTCTCAAAGTCCCTTCTCTGTCACTGTCACTGTCAGAGTCGATCAGTGTGGCCCGTACTGTGATGCAGGAGTTGGTGAAGTCTACATTAGGAATTCAGCCCCTTCAGGGACCAGTGTATTTATGTAGAGAAAAACTCCTTTAAAAACAAATGGATGTGTTAATTTAATAAACAGTTGTTAAGCTCTGAGCCTGAAGCAGCTGGGGTTGTGAGCATGCGTCCTGCCCACAAGAGCTTGCCATTGAAGTTGGAAGAGAGAGACAGACAATTAATTGAGGAAACAAGAGCGTAGAGACCGTGGGAGCTCAGAGATCGGACCTGCGCATTTCTCCTGAGCCAAGACTTAGTGGATGAGCGAGATGCTCTCTGCATCACGGGCATAGGGAACAGTCAGTAGCCTTTGTGCTGCAACCACTAAAGGAGGATTAACCCAGCAAGTAGAGCCAGTTCTTTGGGGCTTTGTATGCCCTGTGGAGGAGGTTAGATATGTGTCCAGATAACAGGAGCTGGGAAAACATATCATGAGGCTAGGTAGGAATGTGGTGACAGAGACTGTAATCCGGATGGATCCTGAGGGACCACTGTTGGAGATGTAGATGGGGCCTAGAGCCGAGGAAATGGCCTGTGTAGGTGACAGTAGGTTGTATTCACCGATATCAGGGCTCAGGCAAGTTCCTGCCAGCTTGAATGAGTGGTGAGTGGCTTCAATGCCTGACCTAAACGTGTGCGACTGAGACCAGCTGGAACTGGTTTTTGTGACCTCTGTCTTAGGTTTTCTATTGCTGGGATAAAACCCCATGACTAAAAGCAGCCTAGGGAGAAAGGCTTTATTTCAGCTTACAGTTGTAGTCCATCATGAAGGGAAGTCAGGGCAGGAACTCAAGGCAGGAACTGAAGCAGAGGCTGCGAGGAATGCTGTTTCCTGGCTTGCTCCTCATTGCTTGCTATTTACACACCTCAGGACCACTTGCTCAGGGTGGCACCCCCCACACACAGTGGGCTGGACCTTCTGCACCAATCATAAATCAAGAAAATGCCCCACAGGCTAGCCTGTAGGCCAGTCTTATGGAGGTATTTTCTCAAGTGAGGTTCCCTCTTCTCAAATGACTCTAGCTTGTGTCAAGTTGGCAAAAAACTAACCAGGGAAACATTGCTGAGTTCAAATGTACCATGGAGTTAGAAGTGATCACACACATTATTTAAACATGATGTAAGCACACACATTTGTTTAGAGTTTTCACAGCTATTACTGTATTCTGGTTTAGGGATATGTTGTTCCCCTTCCTGCCTGGGAAAACAAAGCCTGGGATGGTGAAAACCTGGCTGACTGTACAGTAGGAAATGGCAGACGTGGATGTGGCACTCTGCTCTGACTCTTGGCCAAGGCACTGCCTATCATTCCATGACTGATGGAATCCAGGTGTTTGAATTCTCTGTAAGGTACCATGTCTCCGTAAGATGAGAACAGCACACATTGCCGCCACCGCCACACAGAGACGCATTTTATGCCTTTGTGACAGTAACTTGGGACTTTCGTCTGCATCGGAAGTTGGCAAACTGGCCAGTGTAGCTGTTGCCCGCTGCGGTGGGTCAGACTTTGTTGGGACCACCGACACCGCTTCTGCGCCACAGTGGCAGAGTGTAGAGGAGACGGAGACCTGAGGTGGCCTGGCCACTCGTGGTCTGTCTATGGTCTTTTACAGAAAAGAGTTGGCCAGTCTTTGGCCTTCCCATTTAGTAAACCATGTGATATTTAAATGTTAAATTTTGTATATGAAAAGATGTCTCTTGCCAGAGGCCTGCTCTGTGTGAGACAGTCTCTTCGAGTATGCCTCAGAAAACTGTCACAGTATTCCAGGGAGAGTGCAGGTGACAGCTAGGCCCCTCCTCTGTAGCTTGCTCCTCACTGTCTCTGTCCTGATATTACCTAGCAGCGCCTTGCAACAGTACTTTCTGGAATATATTCTAATAACCTCTGCAGTTTCAAATGAGGAGCCTGCATCCATTGTTTCCATCCCGAGTCTGCTTGCTGAAGGACACTCCCTTCTTGCTTCCTGGTTATCACCCCGACTTCCTACACCCTTCACCCCCAGGGGCGCTTGCTGTGTGGGTGGATCCGCATGATTACCATTTGGTGATGGTGTGTGTTATTGTGCCGTGTGTTTATGATGATGACTGGCTGGTGTGTTTTTCTCTAATGGGTGTCTAACCGAAGGCGACCAGGATGGTAGATTATTTTGAAAGTATTTCTAGGGAAAACACAATTGTAAATGCAGTGGCTATTCTTAACCACTGCAAGTGGTTTTGCTCCTTCGTGTGAGATTATACTTGTAATCTACTGTAATAAAAGGTGGTGTTGGGTACATACAGTGAGCAAATGCACATTTTCATTCCTTCATCCCTAAAATCCCCCCCCCCCCCACTTGACAAGTGTAAGTGGAACGTCCCATTCAGGGCTCTGGAGATAAATGGAGATTGACTAAGACAAATCACATCTTTGTTCTAGTGAGCACAAAGCTGTGCAGAAAGCTAGAAAGGGGTGTTGTAGTCAAAGGTCACTGGGGTCACCTTCAGGAAGGGGTCTCCAGCCTTGACTGCACTGCAGGTCAGAGCCCAAGGCAGGCTTGAGACCAGAGTGTGCCAGGAGCAAGGAGAAGGCTGCCGTGGCTTCGAGTTAAGAGAGTGAGGGTGGGGTGGGCCAGAGTGAACTGAAGAAATGGAAAACAGCGGATGTGGAACCTGATTTGTGTTTCATTTTAAATCATTGGAAGCTTTCATGCATGTATGCATGCATGTAAAAGATCTTCATGAAACTAGCATGCATAAGCCACTGTACTGTGTTCTGAAGAGAAAGCAGGTGGCTTTTTAAGATCCTGTCCTTGGAGGTGCTGATCATGGCCAGCTATACAGCTCAGTGGTAGAGTTCTTGCCAGCTTGTACAAAGTCCTGGGTTCAGTACTGCAAAAAAAACTGCAGATCTGTAATATAGTACTCTATGGTTGTTTCTTGACATAATATAAACTGCATATGTACTAGAGAATAAGTAATGTTTTCCTAACTATATCTGTGCCTGGTAGAAATATTTTCATGATATAATAGTTATAGTTGATTAATGTTTTTACTTAAACATGTAAACTAATGATAATGAAACAATAATATGCCTTTGAGTTAAGATGTAACATTTCTTTTGGGTTTCATCTTGGTTCCACCGAGGACAGCGTTTACTGGCCCCTGTTCGTCTTGATTTTCTACGTCATCTCCCCCATCCCCTACTTCATTGCCAAAAGGGTCACATATGACTCCGATGCGACCAGCAGTGCCTGTCGGGAGCTGGCATATTTCTTCACTACTGGGATTGTTGTTTCTGCCTTTGGATTTCCTGTTATTCTTGCTCGCGTGGCTGTGGTGAGTTCTGTTTTCTATTGTTTCAGTCGGCCGTCAGGGTTTGTTTCAAAGGCCTGTGTCTGAGACCTCAAGTTCATTTTCATTGCTTCAGCTTCCCGTGAAGCCAGCCGCGGCTTGCGTTTCTCTCTCCTACTTGAGATTCATCAGTATCTTGCTCATATTTTCAGACTGCTTTCTTTGTTTCTCCTACAACTTTTAGTCAAATCGTATGACTTTTTGCTTTTTCCACATTAAGCCATTCTTTTCAATCACTCTTAGATTCCTGCCTCTTATACGACAGGGCAAACCATAGAGACGATAGAAAAGATGCTTCCCCAGTCAGAAAATGAAGGTCTTATCAAATTGGAACTAGGAACTTACTTCTCAGTACTCTGGTAGATACTGAGCAATATCTAGTGAGTGACATCACCACAGCCATTGTAGGCTTTTTTTTTTTTTTTGGCATGTAAACAAACATTGTGGGTATACTTTATTCAGTTTCTTGATGTTCTCTGACTCTCCTACTCTTTGTTTTTATTCTGCCAACCACATTGGCTATCAAACATATGCACACATGTACAAATCTCGTTTATTTATTTAGCATTAAATACCATGACTAAAAATCCCATACCGTCAGCACTCGAAGAACATGATGATGCCCCGATGAGGATATATGCTAAGGTGTACTATGTATGAGGAGGGACATTGGTAAGAATACATACCATAGGCGCACCATGAAGAGAGAAATGCCAGCTGCTGGTTGATGTGAGCCTCTAAAGCCCAATAGGATTCTGATTAAAGTAGAGAAGGCTGTTGGAATGGCTAGGTATGAAAATGCACTGTGTGGAGAAAAGAAAAGTGCATTATGATGAAGCGAAAAGGAGGCACCAGAGTAAGGCCACAAATGTCCTTGAGGCACCGAGAGGAAGGCCACAAGTGTCCTTGAGGCCTACTGAGCCAGAGCCCCCCTAAGGCTGCACCAGCTCCAACTTTCCTAAAGCCATGAGGCTTTCTGAAGCTCTGAACACGAGGTGGCCGTGGCCTCCTTCTTCTGCCTTAAGTGTTGATATTTCTACTTTCTGCACTGTGCTTGTGTTTTGGGGAAGAAACTTTCATTGATATTTCTGTTGGTTCATTTGAAGCCAAAAGAAAAGAAACGCCCACTAGAGGGTACTCTCGTCCCAGCTGTGCCTCCAGGAAACCAGCTGCCCAGCTGGAATGCCCCTTTCGTTTAAGTGCAGATTATTGTTTAAAAGTATGCCTTGCCTAGAAAAGAAGCAAACAGATGCATAACTTTCCAGTCCCTGTTCTCTGTGAAAGAGGTTGATGCATTGCAGAGCATTTGTACCTAATGTTGACATGGGATCATCAGTAATCTTGCTTACATGTGTTTTGCCTGAGGCAGTCATTGTCAACTAAAAACAGGGACGATGTAAAGGATGACACTAGACTTAATTCACAAGCATTATGGCATCACTTAAACTAATGGCTGAGACGTTCACTGTCCCCCACCCATGACGTGACTCAGCCTTGTGGCAGCCGTGGTCATGTTTCAGTGGGGGTTTCTGGAGCAGAGAAGAAGAGGTTTACAGAGTACATTCTGAAGGTGACTTACCCCTTCTCTTGTGTTTCAGATCAAGTGGGGAGCCTGTGGCCTCGTGCTGGCTGGCAATGCTGTCATTTTCCTCACAATTCAAGGCTTTTTCCTCGTCTTTGGAAGAGGAGATGATTTCAGTTGGGAACAGTGGTAGCACTTTATCCTGATGGAAAGCAGCGAGTTTCTTAGAATTTGTACTGTACTTATATCTGTGCACATGTGGTGTTTTCTTATGGATTTTAATATGCTGAGTTTTTTTATACCTTTATATCGTAATCATCTTAGGGAAGATGTTGTAAACAAAAGATGAGTTCTATTCCTGGCAGACAGGTCACTCCATCAACTCAGATTCTGCTTGGGATATACTTGGGTAATCAGAGACACTGGGACAGATCTGTGACAGCCCACACAGAGTTGGCCTTCTCTCTGTACACTGCAGCTCCATCTCAGCGTGAGTGGCATCCACACTCTGCTGGGAGCTCACACGGGATGTGGGCTCTGAAGCCCCATTACACCGGGTGCGTCTGGTGACAGTCCACACTTGTCACATGCCTGTTGAAGTCTGAGAAGCTTGGTCGTAGAGGAACCAGCATCATGCCTAGCTCGCTGTCCTCCCCTGGGCACAACACTTAACCTCTCTGGGTGTTGCATGCTCATTTCCTGCCCCATGTTAAGAATAAGTTCAGACTCCTGGTGTTTCTAAAATGTTTAAACTTATATTTGGGATGTTCCTCAAATTTGGGGGGAGGACCTGGGTAGGGTGTGGTGGCGCACACTTTTAATCCCAGTACTCAGGAGGCAGAAGCAGGTGGATCTCTGTGAGTTTGAGGCTAGCCTGGTCTACAAAGTAAGTTCCAGGATAGCCAAGGCTACACAGAGAAACCCTGTCTCGAAAAACCAAACCAAACCAAAAACCAAACAACAACAAATTGGGGGAACCTGTTCTAAGGAGGGAACAAATCAATCCTCACATCATTTAAAGGGCCATGGCTGTTTGCACAGAATAAGTTACAAAATAACCCAAGAGCCCTGCCTCTGCCTCCCCGCTCCCAGCCCCCCCCCCTTCCCAGGGTCCCTGCTTTAAGTAAAGGGGAAGACAGACAATTCTTTGAAATTTCCCTTTAAAACTTTGTGCTTCCTGCCCCTTTCCAGTGTCTCCCATCCCCCACTCTCCATCATTCCCGTTTGGCTGGCTGGTTCTGGCCTCCCCTGGAGGCTTATGAGCGTCAAGAGCAAGCAGAGGCCTATGGCTTCTTTGGATTTACATGTCGGTGCATTTTTCCTTCTTTGTGTGGAACTTGATGTCACCTCCACAGGAAACACGGGATCCACGTTGGTTCTTATAAACAGTTTTTCTAGCTCATCCTTTTTTATCTGCGACCTGTCAGGAGAAGGAGGTGAAAACAGCCACCTCATCAGGATGCCATCAGCGGTGTTTAAGCATTAATGTTAGTAGCTGGTGAGTGTCCAGAGCGCTCGACCCTTGAGGCTTGTGGTCTGAGGAATCAGCACACCCAGCTCGGGCTGGTGTGATACTGGGACCAGCAGATGGACAGACAGCGGACAGCGTGCAATGTTACTTTTTGGCCTTGTGCATGATATTATTTGTATTTCAATATTTTGTGTACATATAGAATTGTTGTCATTTCTAGTATTTACATTAGAAGAATGATTTAGATACTTGATCATTTTAACCAGCATTTTTAATCATGACTCTTGCTATTGTAATAAATTTGACTTTAAGCACTGAAGGAGAGTTGAATTTCACGTCTTTCGTCTCGTGTTACCTTGCTTAAAGGATGAGTGAGAATTTTTTGACACTGGAATGGGCAGTTTTGAGCAGTAATTTCTGTCTTAGAATGATAGCGGGGACTTCTGTGATACTGTTTCCAGTGTCTAGTGGACTGTAATAACTTTTCTTTCCCTCAGATGGCAATAGCCATCAATTTATCCTATGTTTCTCAGAGGTGTCTTGTAACACATCTCAAGTAACCATGATAACTTTAATATAGAAGATTGAAGTATTACTTTCCCCCCCTCCCCTTTCTCTTTTTAAGATAGGATCTTCCTCAGTAGCCCAGGCTACCCTCAAGCTCTTTTGATACTTTGGCCTCACCCTCCAGGTGAGTATTGTGATTATCAGCACACACACCACACCTGGCTTAAGAATTAGCTCTTGATTTTATTTCCAGGATGATGAAAGGTACCTGTACTGTAAAGAGTATTTGAGAGGCTAGAGAGATGGCCCAGTGGTTAAGAGCGCTTGCTGCTCCTGCAGAGGACCTGGGTTCAGTTCCCAGCACCCACATCAGCTGACTCACAACAGTAATTCCAACAGTAATTCCAGTGCCTTGTGGCTCTATGGCGCACGCGTGCATACGCATACACACACACACACACACACACACACACACACACACACACACACACACACACACACGCAGGCATACATACATACATACATACATATACATAAAATAAATAAATCTTTAAGAAAGTATTTGATGAGACAGATTATCAGACTTGCTGTGTGTCTGAAAGGAGACACATTTATTCCATAGTGACAATTAGCATAAGCAATAAGTGTTAGCCATATAGGAATATTTAGTACAGTTTTTTTCTTGGTCACAATGGTGGATTTTTTTTTTTTTTACTTCCAAGGAGTACTCATCCTTTTATTGTAGATATATTTAAAAATCTAGAGTGTGTTGATTACATCCTAAAATTGAGAATACACTTCAAAGACTTGCTCACAAGAATTCTCATGCCAGGACTAACACATTCCTGCAGCTAGCTTGCAGGAGAATGGGGAACCCCTTCCACAGCCTTGCTATTATGAATGGGCCGAGGCAGGTAAACTGCTGGCCCTGACCTGTAAGGCTGAAGCCCCTACCTGCGTTGACATGGAGTCCTGTTTCAAAGCTATGAGGTTTTGGAGGAAGGACAGTGGGAGCCCCATCTCCTCTTCAGAACGAGGTCGTTCCTCATTAGTTTTTACTCCTGTCTGCCTGTGGGTACCGTTGTGGTCCAGGCACCTTCCAGTGAATTTGACCCACCTCCTCTTCCAACCCAGATTCTTCTCTTCTTCTACCCCATCCTTCCTCCCGCCTCTCAGGTTCCTCCTTCACCTTCACCCCCCTGTCACCCATTAATCAGCTCTAGCTGAGAGTCCCGGGCTGTTGGAAGTCATCTGGTCCACTGTCTTCACAGAAGGAATGCATGCCGTCTGTTTTCCTCCCCGTTCTGAAACTGGTGTCAGTACCCCCAGGCACCCCACGTGCCACAGCCCAGAGCTTGTGAGAGTGCCTCCTGACCCACTCTCGGTCACAGAAAAGCGAACAAGCAGCACAGCTGTGTAGAGAAGCTTGTAGAGAAGCTTGGTAATGTTTGGGGTGGAGCTAGCCATCCCCTCTCCAGGCCAAGGTTCTCCGTTTTCATGTTCACAGGTGCTTATCTGCCCCCGACTAAGCACCCCATGTGCGTTTCTTACAGATGTCCAGACGTCTGCCTATTAGATACCTCCTTGCTGAAGATTTTTCTAGAAGGTGAACTGTTTTATTATGTTAATAGCACCCCCGATACTCTAAAGGAGTTCTCAGATGATGTCACAAAACTGTGCTTTTTCATAGTTTGCTAAATTAAATTTTGTATCCTAAGAGAACCAAAATATTTATGATACCAGCATTATCTAGGAATAGTAATTAATTATAGCCTGGACACATTATCCTGTAGATGAATGTCACTTGTGTGTTTCTATTCTCTCCATTTTGCCTTGATAATTCCTTTATTTGCAAAAGCCCTAGCTTATGAATTATGATTTGCTTTCAAATGGCGAGGCTGCTAGGGTAGAGCAATGGTGTTTAACCCAACTATGAAGCCAGAGATCTCTGAGTCTGCTTTTGGGTGTGTGACGTGATGAAAATGGTCACTTGTCAAGTAAAACTTGTCGCGTAACCCTTCAGTGGAAGCTTTTATGCACATTATTAAATTAAAAAGATTCTGTTGTGCTTCGGGATACTTTATGTTTGGAAAGGTTTGTTTTCCGTTGCTTTTGTCTGGACAGCCTCAGTGTAAACCTGACTGGTTGCGATCTGCTCTTGCTGTAGTTGAAGAGAAGCCATCCTGGTACTGGAAGCAGTGTCCACCCGGAAGGAATCCAGTCCCTTATGACAACTGTCCTGGGGTAGTCTCCCTTGGGAGGCGGCAGACTTGGGTGCTGGTGGAGTGGCAAGATTAACCCCGACTGCTGTATGGAAGGGGTGGAGAGATTCACCAGTGGATAAAGAGCTTGCAACCCAAGTGTGAGGACAGGGTTCAGATCCTTGGCACCCACATAAACAGCTGGGCAGGCATGGTGGCCCACCAGGAATCGCAGCACTTGGAATCTTGGAGGCAAGCTGGCTAGCTAGACTAGCTGAATTGGAAAGTGGAGAGCAGAGGAGGAAATGCATGACATAAATTTTGGCCTCTACATACATGTACTCCTGCAAATCTGTGTCTGCCCATATGCCTACACACACACACACACACACACACACACACACACACACACACACACACGAATGTGAAGTGACACAGAAGGAACTGGGGATCCTCGTGTTCTGTGCAGTAGGGAAGATTTGACCTGATGTTTACAAGTGCGTTTAGGAACTGGATCCCAAAGAAGTTATGCTATCTCATCAGTCACATAGTTCAATTACTAGACCCAAGTTTGGCAGCGCTAGTATGAGTATAAAAGGTCCACAAGAAAACCGTTCTCAAGGAAAACCAATAGGTGGCCATTTTGAAAGAGTTGTTCATCCTTAGTCCTGGGAATACATGCAGGGTGGAAGTCTCAAAACTCCCTCGGAACACAGCACACTTTGGAGACTGCAGTGTGCCCCTTCAGTATTGATTGTCAGAAATGGGTGTTATGGCACTTCACACACTTGAAATTAATTTTATTTTATTTTTTTGGTTTTTTGAGACAGGGTTTCTCTGTGTAACTTTGGAGCCTTTCATGGAACTCACTCTGTAGCCCAGGCTGGCCTCAAACTCACAGAGATCTGCCTGCTTCTGCCCCCCGAGTGCTGGGATTAAGGCATGTGACACCACTGCCCAGCTCTATCAATTAATTTCAAAGCCGGGCAGTGGTGGCACCTGAGGATAGCCTGGTCTACAGAGCAAGATTTAGAACAGGAACCAAAACTACACAGAGAAACTGTGTCTCAGAAAAAAAAAAAAAAGAAGAAAAAAGAAAAAAAAAGAGAAAGAAATTAATTGATAGTGAACTTATGCATTAGTTTTTCTTTCTCAGAATAATTCAGTTATTAATTCCCAATGCCTTGGCTAAAATCTGTGTATCCCTGATGGTCATTCACTTTATAAGTTAAAGCATGAATGTACCCGTGCTTCCGTCCCAACACTTTCATTTCCTCTGTATCACCATATTGTGCCAGTTTCACAACTCTTAGAGCTCTCCGTAAACTGCGTGCTTGGTCCCCTGACACAACCACAGTTCACTAGCTCTTTGGTTACAGAACAGCCTGCACTCTGACCAGCCAGCTTTGGTTATCTACCTTGTTTTTCTCCCTTCCCTGGGTTGTTTTGAGACAGGGTCTCACTATGGAGGTCTGGCTGTCCTGGAATTCACTCTGTAGACCAGGCGGTCTTCTAACTCACAGAGATCCACCTGCCTCTGCCTCTGGAGTGCTGGGATTAAAGGTATGTGCCACCACCATGCTCAGTTTGGTTACCCACCTTTAATAAGCCAATTAAAAGAGCCAAATTAATAGTGAAATGCAAAAAATAAAAAGCAGGAGAGAGAGAGAGAGAGAGAGAGAGAGAGAGAGAGAGAGAGAGAGAGAGAGAGAGAGCGCACAGAGATAGATTTATTCAGGAGGGAAGAGGAACAAAGATCCAGTGATTTCCTTAAGTCCATCTTCTGGGTCCTTACATGAAGTTTAGGTTTAAATTCGTGATTAAGCAGTCTTGTCAAGGTGTGGTCATGCCCATCAGTGTCTGTCCCAGTCTCTCCTCAGGGAAGTCCGACAAGTTACCCGCCCTGTGTGAAGTCTGTTTCAGGAGAGTTTCCTCCTAGGCCGCAACTGTGTAATCCACAAGGAGTGAACTTCGGCAGAACCTTTCCGACTCTGCGCTCACTGACTTGCTGATTTCATGCTGTCCCATTCTATTAGTTACTTTTTTGTTGCTGTGACGGAACACCATGGCCTCGTCAACTCACAGAAGATTTTATTTGGGCTCATAGTCCCTAATGGTGGGGACCATATGGCCACAGGCAGCAGTTACGGTGGCTGGAGCTGGAAGCTGAGAGCCAGCTAGGATCTATCTCAGAGTATAAGCATGAAGCAGAGAGAGTGAACTGGAAACGGCCCATGGCTTTGAAACCTCAGTGACTCACTTCCTCTTGCAAGACTTGCCTGAACACCATTCCCAACTGGGGACCGAGCATTCACACAGCTGAGGCTCTGAGGGACATCCTCATTCAGACCACCACTCTCGTCTCTGCCTTTTGGAGGCAGATGACACACATTTCTACTTCTAGGGCAGACTCCTCTAGGCCCCAGAATTGTATACACAGCTGGCAGTGTATCCTGTCCACTGGAGTCTCCATGTGCAACATGCAAAGTGATTCTCCCTTAGTTTCCAGTTTCTTGGGCCTAAGGACTTGAAATGTTTCAAAGTTTCTTATTTCTTGCCATGCTACCAAATTCACCCTCTAAAAGTATTCAGTCGGTCAGGCTTTATATAT